GTGTATAGGTGCATTTTTCTGGGAAGAGAGACTGTAGTTTTCATCAGTCTGGAAGGAATAGAGTTAGGGGTTTTAGAACCACGGCTCTGCCCTCTATTCTGCCATCAGTCCCCTCCTACAGCAAAAAAAAAAAAAAAAAAAAAAAAGGGCCACCCGTGTGGCCCTTTTCTGACAAGGCGGCAGATAAGGAAAGAGAGGCTTTTCTCTCCATCACATTCATGCCCACTTACTAGAGCCAATTATCTCTTCAAGGGCAGCTTTATTCAATAATAAGTGAGAAAGATCTTCAAAGTTCTATTCTAGGCCATTAGTTTATGTCCAGATTCAGACTCATTTGTGAGGCCCTACAATCTTTTGTGCCAGTGAATCATTCATTAGCAAATGTGAGTAACACCAGCAGATTGAGTTTCCAAAGTGAGTTGTTCATTAGTATTTGTGAGAACTGCCTGGAGAAAAACAAAACAATACAAAACAAAAAACCCTTAAGTACATGAGACAATCTGGATTATTTCAACAGTAATACAATGCCAGATAACTGACTTTTTTTTAAAAAACAGACCCAGCCTCAAGACTCAAGCAATAATTGTGCTTTTACTGGCCTTCCTCAAAGTCTTTCTCTGAAATGTTTTTTAACAGTTTAGTTTTCTCACAGTCTGATATGCAGATGAGAAAAGTATACTTTTCTGACTTTTACTACAAATGTATAAAAGAGCTCAATGAGCTATCTTAGGTTCTTTCTTTGATTCTCATAAACTGTGCAAAGATGAAGTTTATTATTTAAAAAATCTTAATGTTAAAATCATATTCTTTGGGGGGAATGTTATATTAGGAGGACCAGGCTGCCACCATACAAACCCACTGTTCAAGCTTAACATCACTAAAGATGGTATCACGTGTCCTCTTCCTATGTGATTCATAGGAAAGCACCTATAAAGCACCTTTGTCAAGAAAGCTGAAGTTGAATCTAATCGAGCCTCTAGAGCTGCACGGTCTAATAAGGTAGCCTTATATGGCTATTTAAATTTAAATTAACTAAGACTAAATAAAATTTTAACTTCAGTTCCTCACTTGTACTAGCCATGTTTAAAGTGCTCAGTAGCCACATCTGCCTAGTGGCCACTGTATTGGACAGTACAAGTAGAGTATTTCCATCATCACAGAAACTGCCTTGGGAACAGTGTTGCTCTAGAGCTAACTTCACTTAAAGGAAATACGGGGGATGGAGAGACATGTTAATGACACCACAAGGAAGCAAACATATGTAGAATGTGAGATATTCTATAGGACAACTGATCCAGTTGGTCTGCAACAAGTCAATCACACGAATTAAAAAAAAAAGAAGGAAGCGGGAGGAGAAATGCTCTAGATTAAAAGATAATTCTAAGACCTGACAACCAAATGTAATATGTGATTTTGTTGGGAAACCCAATTCAAACAAACCAACTTAAACAGAATATCTGACACTATAGGGGAAATGTGATTATTGTTTGGGTATTAGATAATACTAAGGAGTTAATTTTGATAGGTATGATAATGTCCTTGTGTTTATGGAAGCCAAATATCAACATTGTTTGGAGATGCATATTCAGATATGTAGCAAAAATTATCTAATACCTAAGATTTTGTTTCCGAATACTTCAGCAAATGAATAAAAGGGATGGATAAAGGTAATGTAGTAAAATCTTGATAATTGTTGATCTGGACAATGGATATATTGGGCTTACTGTAATTCTATACTTTTGTGTATTTTAAAATATTCAAAATAACAATTTTAAAATCTTTAACACATATTTAAATAAGAAAAGCAATAAAATCCTTATGTAAACTCTATTCTGTCTTAAAATAGCCCCTCAAGAGGATTCTTGGTGGCATCACTATGGAATTGCCTTCAATAGAAGTCTTCATAGGTTTAAAGAGAAAAATATAGTGGATCTATTCACTTCAAATGCAGATGACATAAGAAAATTACTGTAGTGTGTAATACTTTACAAGTAATTCAGAGAGAAACCCACACAAGAAAAAAAGCAGTGTATTATAGGAATAGTGATCTCTCTATATATAAAAATAGATTTTAAAAAAAGTTTCTTCAGTATAGCACAGGGAACTATATTCAATATCTTGTAATAACCTTTAAGGAAAAAGAATATTAAAACGAATATATGTATGTATATGCATGACTGGGTCATAGGGCTGCACACCAGAAATTGACACATTGTAACTGACTGTACTTCAATTTTAAAAAAAGGGAAAAAAAGAATAATGGTCTCTGCATGAATATCAAAAACAGGAGCTGACAATTTGAGTATTTCTTTAAGTATACACACTTCTCAAGAATTTTCCCCAAGTATCAGGAATACTTCCATGGAAGGAATTAAATTGCAATTAGACAGAGTTGGACATTCTAGACTATGTACATAGTCCATAAACTTCCATCTTAAAGTAATTTCTATTCAGAAAATATAATTTGCTCCTTTGAGTCTCAGAGGGCTAGTTCTATATCCACGGGAGTGGTAGGCTAATTATGACTCAAAGCAATTTCCAAGGAATTATATTTATTATTCAATATAAGAAAGTAGAAAAGAGTGTGATTTAGTCCCAACACTTGTAAAAAGTGTCTGCTGTACCCGGGCGCAGGATTTAGGCCCCAAATGCAGACATGTCTAAGATGAGGCTATTTTTTATGTTGTTATATCTACCCTTTCTTCTGGAAACATAACTTTCCATTTCCTTTTTACCCTCTTCTGTCTTTATTTAATCCTACACCTTTCCTTCCATACTTGTTTCCATTTATGTGCTCCCTATTCACCTATTGACATGTATTATTGAGTACCTACTATGTGCTAGGTACTGTTCTGGGCAACGGAGGCATAAGGGTGAACAAAAAACAATCTATGCCTTTGCGGACCTTACATTCTAATGGGGTAAGAAATATAATAAAGTGAACATAGATAACAACAGTATGATTAATGCTAGGAAGAGAATATCGGCTGGGTTGGGGAGAGAGAAAGTTACAGGTTGGAGAGGGACTTAAAACCCAATTTAGACCCAGTGGAAAGATCAGCCTCTCTAACAGTTATGACATTTGATATAAGATCTAAACAGAAAAGATCACTAGCAAGACTTTCAAAGAACTAAGAGAAAAGACATCGAGGCAAAGGGAACAGTAAATGTAATAGGCCATGAGTCAGAAAAGAAATGGGTATGTTTGAGGAACTGAAAGGAAGCCAGTGAGCTTACTAAGAGAGACCTGGGCAGGGAGTAGAAGAGGTTCAGAAATGACACTTAAAGAGTTAGGGTGGCACTAGATAGCCAGAAACTTACAGTTATTGAAGACAATGTGATTGTCTAACCAAGAGACATAAGCTCTTCTTCCGTCCCATTAGCAACCTAGTTTTGCTTGGGTGGCAATGGATCTAGCTCCAGGGAATAAATCACTATTTATTTAAGCCAATTCTGGCCAGTGATATATAAGGGGGAGTCACTGGAAGTTTTTGAAGTAATAGAAAGCCGCAAGTGAATAAAGCTGTTTTTGTCTTCTCTCCCTCTATGCTTTAGCTACTGCCATGTTTTCTCCTATGGCTTTCACTCCTAAACGCAAAATGTTTAGGTACAGTGCTCCTCAACTTTTATTCGTAATTAATTACTAAGGTATAATATATATTCATTGGAAAATAGTCAAACAGCATAATACAGGAGAGCTAAAAGTGGAAAGTAAAGATGCCCAGAAACTTTACTCTTCAGCCTTATCCACCAGGAGTATTCATTAATATTAATAATTCTTGTTTACCCTCCAAGAATTTTCTATACACATGCACACGCACATACACAGAGAACTGTTTTTACACAAGTTGCATTATCTCTTAATACATATAGATATATAAACATACATCTAAAAAAGCAAGTTGCGTTTTTTTTAAACTCGCATTTTGGGGATATTTCTATATCAGCACATTTATACCTACTTTACTCATTTTAAAGACTGATAATATCCTATTGTATTAATTATACACTATAACTTTTTTAAGGTCTTCTATGGTAGGCAATTAGATCGTTTCCTCTGTTTTTTTCCTTGCTCCTCGCCCCCCAATGCTGCAATAAACACCTATGTAGATAAATCAGTGGTCAGTGGTGCAAAAACAACTGTTGGATAATTTCCTGGTAGTCAGATTGCTGCATCAAAGCACTTAAACCTCTGATACCGTCAATCTACCCCTCCCAAAATGTTACTCAAATGACATTCTAAAAGCATTTCCTCACACCTTGCCTACACTCGGTATTGACAGACTTCAAAAGATTGAAAAATGGCGTCTTTTTATTTTTATTTGGGTCTCTTCATTTATGAGTAGCGCAGCAATGCCCGACTGTTAAACGTGAACGTTTTTAAGTCCTATTCCCTGGGCTGATTCTACCTCTTCCCCTTTAAATGTGTGACCTTAGACATGCTAGGTCTTTTTCTTCTACTCAAAAAAGGGGTAACGAGAGCACAAATCTTTACGATGAAACGAGATACGTAGAAACACAGTAAGCCCTTTGTACACGTTCGCTATCAGTAGTACTATTTTTGAAAACCCTGTTTGCTCCAGTACCTTATCTTTGGCATACTCCTCCTCCCAGCCAAGTTTCGCAGAATTCTTGTCGCTTGTAACTCAAAATGAGAGGAAAATTGGCTCTGCTTTTCAAAATTCTTCTCATTTCAACCGCCCCTCCCCCCACCCATCCCCGTTGCTTCAAAACTACTGGTTTACTTAACAGTGTACAGGAATGAGTTGCAGTTTTTAAATAATACGCAAAGTGAACAACGCTTGGCCCGAGCACCCCCCGGCCTCAGGACCCACTGCGCGGTTGAGAGTAAATCTGCAGCGCTGAAAGGCTGCAGAAAAAAAAGAGTTTTAAACTAGGAAGAGTTCCAGACGCAAGCTCCTCACGCAAGCCACGAGAACCACCTCCCACGGCCCCGCCTTCCAATCCGGAAGTGACGCATCGACTGGAGCCCGTCTTTTTCCGCCGTCCGCCCGAGAAGCGGCCCAGGCTAGCGCAGGGCGTGCGTCGGCGTCGCAGTCACCAGAGGAATTCTGGGTAACGGCCCCAGCCGGCTGGGGCGGCTGGCTCAGTGTAGCAGGTTCTGCTCACGCCAAGTCGGTTGGCAGTAGGGATAGTCGGGCCAGGGGCAGCCCGACATGGAGCAGCCTTGGCCACCGCCAGGATCTTGGACCCTTCCTCGGGCAGAGGGTGAGGCTGAGGAAGAGAGTGACTTGGACGTGTCCCCCTGTTCTCCCCGCTGCCCGCAGCTGCCGGGCGGCGGCGCCCAGGTGAGAAGGGGCCGGTGTTCGGCGTACGGGGAGGTGCCGTCACCAGGGGCCCAGAGTCCTCTCTCTTTGCGACCCTCGTGGTGCCCCGTTCGGAGCCCCCACCTCACCCCCTGGCGCCGAGGGCCTAATGCCATCCCAGCGCTTTGTAGCATCTTCTGAGGGCTTCGAAGAGGGACTCATTTATTCCCAGCCACCATCTCCACGCACACCTTTTTCACCTTGACTGATTCCTCACCCTTGGAAAAAGGTTCCACCCCGTCACCCGTCTTCTGACAACACCCAGGTTTGGGGCGGCTCACAGAACACTGACCCTTTGTCCTTTTGTGCCTGCTTTTATCTGAGCACTTTATTCTGTTGAGGGCTCTAATATTTGTGTACAGTTGATAGGAACAGTGAATGATTGAATGTCAACAATTCGCTGAACTCCTGACATAAAGATTTCAGATCCAGTTTACTTCACTGACTTTTGTCATCTGAGCAAATTCTTTAAAGCTTGCTTTCTATACTGGTGTAAATCTCTGCCATTCGCGTGACCATTTCCCCCTTACAGTTATGATTTTAGTTTTGCTTCACACCATTCTTCGGTAAAAACATGTAGGCACACGTTTGCCTTTCCCTTCAGACTTTTTCTCTGATTCCTGATGCTACTTGTGGTTTTCAGCCCAGCCATCATTCCTCGGAAACTTACCCAAATGTGATAAACTACCATTTAGGATTTTTGTGGATCCTATCTTAGGGAGAGCTTACATACTCATATCACTATGTCCTGGTTTTTCTTCTAACCTTAGCGTGTTGTCTTTATTTCAGCGTCACAATATGTTCAATGAAATGGATTATAGGTGTCTGCTTTCTAGGCTTTTTGCGAAATGGGGTCCCTGAGTGCTTAACTGAATTGATACAGTTTTTCTCTGGACTCATTTTACTAGTTGTTGATGAAAATGAGTGATTTAAATCGTTTGCCAATAAACGTAGGGTCATCGATCCTGTGCCCAGCTCACAGGGTTAGTTGGCTGCACAGGGAAAAATGCTGTTTCATAACCACAGACTGTACTTCGGCCAGCCAGTCACTGGGAAAGTGCAAGACATTTTTTAGGAGGACAGAATGAGAGTTGATAGGTCAGTAGTCACCCACTAATTATGGATCACTGGTGTCATCTTTATATACAAAATGTGTTATATAAGCACATAATAAATGTGTTACAGAGAAAAAGGGAATGCACAGCGGCTGCCATTGTCAATTTTGAAGGCATATGGAGAGGATAGAAAGAGCTCAAGAATTTTTATTGCACTGTGGTTGAATCTAAAGAGTACCCTAAGAGAAACTCTTAATTTAAAAAATAGCTGTATATTAATTTTTACTTGTATACTTGGAACGATAAACTTATTTAGCTGAAGGGAATTTTAGAAGTTGAATAAGCTTATCTCTTTCATTAAAAGTGATTTCCCTGAGACCATGTAGCTAGTCAGTGGCAGAATTAAAACTAGAACCCAGTTCTGAGACCTAGTACAGTGTTTTTTCCCACCTCCTGCAGTGCCCATTCTGTGATGTTATGTAAAACTTTCTTTGACTGAAACAAACTTGAAGGTGCTAAAATTTGCAAAGTGATTACTAATCCTATGTTAGTTCACGTGTTTATAACAGACCTACTTACTTGTCTTGCTGTTAAGTTTTAGGACTTAAGTTCTCTATTGGAATATTTGGAAAGAATAAAATGTTTAGTTCAATTTATAAACATTTATTGATCTTTATAAAAACAGCCTTGGTTTAATTTTTACCAAATGTGGGAATCTAGACGTCTTAATGTCATATGTGATGTATAGTTCTGAGATTCAGTTAATGTAGAAGCAGTTTGGAACGTAGAGATGCTGTTTGAAAGTTTATGTAGTTATATTAGTAGACCTTAATGCTAACAGTTCCTTTTTCGAATTTGTGTTCATTAAGATATAATTATGTTTAATGTCCCTCTAAAAAACCTCAATATGTTCCCAGATAAAATATGACCTTTTAGGGGTGGGAAGGGAGTAGCTCAGTGATAGAGTACGTGCTTAGCTTACGTGAGGTCCTGGGTTCAATCCCCAATACCTCCATTAAAAATAAGTAAATAAACCTAATTACCTCCCCTCTCTCCCCCCAAAGATTTTATTTTATCCTCTAGATACATGTAGGATAGTTTCCTCAAATGCCCAAACATTGTCTGTGTAGTCTGTGGAGAAGAATTTAAATGTAAATCATTTTTAGAATTTGGAAATAAGATTTATGTGTTTGATTTGAGAGATGATTTGGTGATTTGCTTCCGTATAATTTGAAAATGCAATATATTTCCATTTGTCCTTGCCTTTGTTAGTGTTTTTCTGTCTTTTCTTACAAAATAAATTTCAAAGCTTCATTTTTCTCCTTCTCCTGGTCCCTTCGTAAGCATAGCTAGTATACAGTTAATCTTGATCCTATTCTAAGATAGCAAAAACTAAAAATAAATACTTTACTTGCTTGGTTAGGACCATGTGGTTCCTGGCTCCAAACCTGCTAAATGAGTAACTAAAACATCTAATAACAGTGTCCACATTCACCCCAATAGAAATCTAAGCTTGCTGAAGACTTGGATAAGAGCCTTGCATGCTACTTGCCTTAGAATTCTTTACCACCACCAGTCTGTTCCAAGAAGTCAAGAGTTATTTATTCATCTAAGATTTATTGAATTCTAGCCTCTCAAGAAACAAATAAGCACAATACTGTGTGGAAACACCATTATAGAAGTATGCATAACTTGGGGCAAAATGGATAGGATAGGAGGGAAACAAAGTGATGCCAGAATCTGGAATGGAGATAGGAATTGGGGCAGAGGGGAGTTGCCACATTGCAAGGGAGGATGGAAAGAATAAGCAAACAAGTTGAAGATAACTAGAAGAGCTAGTAGAAGTTACCTAGAACTGAATCTAGAGAGATAACAGGAAGACAGATCATGAAGGACCCTGCTGTGCCACAGAGTTTGCGCTTTATCCCAGGACTCTACGAATGAATAAACTATTGAATTTGTTTCTTGGAGAGATCACTCCAAGTCTAGTAGAGAATGGCTTAAGATGAGAAAGGCTGTATTTATATAATTAAAGTGTGAAGTTATAAGGGCTTAATTACTAGTGCTGCAGATAAGGGAATAGGTTAGAGTAAAATTATTCTGAATACCTAACTTGAAATTGATCTACATTTTGGCTAAAAATGTGCCTTCAGATTTTGTTTTATAGAGCTGAGGAATATAAGGAATTAAACATCCATCACAATGCTTTACATGTGGCAGTTCAATAAATGTTAAAACTAATCGCTGTTGCTTATGAATGGAACAGGGTCACTAGGATAGACCAGTGACTATTTTTATACAACTTTGCTTATTTTGATTAGAATTAAGTTAAATAATATCTAGCTGATATAGTCAGTTATAAACAGAAATTTCCAGTAGGAACTTCTTAGATTACCAAAGGTTGGGGTAAAACAGAAAGAAAATAGAAACCAAGAAATGATTACTTCTACATAAAAGATTCTTTGCAGTGAGAAACTTACAGAGCAAAACTCTAAAGGTCTGGTTTACAGCATGTTGAGTAATAAGGTAATAAACTAGATTTAAGCCTTTGTTATTATTGTGGTTTCAGGATTATGAAGACTATAAATCAGATTTTTGTTGAGCCCCCATTTGTTGGATATTGCTAGTTGCTAGGCTTTTTGTTGCTGTTAGTTGTCAGAGGAGAGGCATAAATTAACAAAGAAGCTTAGAGTGTAGTTGATGAAACAAGGCCTGTAATATAAAACTGTAAATACATGCACAAAGGCAGGATATCTATGTACCAGAAACATTGTACAGAAATCCTTGACTAAAAGAAAGTTGAACTGTATTCTGTAAACATACCTGTTCTGTTGCTGTTTCATTTCTTACAAATACTGTTTTTTATCCAGATGTATAGCCATGGAATTGAATTGGCTTGCCAAAAGCAAAAAGAGTTTGTGAAGAGCTCTGTGGCATGCAAATGGAATCTCGCTGAAGCTCAGCAGAAACTTGGTAGCTTAGCACTGCATAACTCTGAGTCCTTGGATCAGGAACATGCCAAAGCACAAACAGCAGTGTCAGAACTGAGGCAACGGGAAGAAGAATGGCGGCAGAAAGAAGAGGCTCTAGTACAAAGAGAGAGAATGTGTCTGTGGAACGTGGATGCCATTAGCAAGGATGTTTTTAATAAGGTACTATGTTTTATTGGACCGTAATGAAAGAAGAAAAAACTAAAGTGTCTGTACAAACCAGTTGTGCATATCTAGTAACAAAGCAACAGAATCCTGTAAACAGTATTCAGTTTTGACAGTTTATGAAAAGTGATTGTTGCAGAAACATATATCTCCAGTAGTGTCTAATGTGCTTAGTCCTTAATACAATTATGTGGCTGCAGCATAGCACACACACTGAATGTAAGAGTAGGTTCTGCAGTCACACTGCCTCAAATCTCAACTTTGTCACATACTGGCTTTGTGACCTTGGGCAAGTCACTTAACTTCTCTCTGCCTCAGTTTCCTCAACTATGTAGAGTGAAGACTAAATAAGGTAATGTCTTAAAAGCAGGTAGGAAGGGGCTTGGCATATGGTAAAGCTCACATGTAACGAGCACTTTCTGATGTTATTGTGGTATCAACTTGCTATCAGTTTTGTAATGCTAATGTATAGTTACTGGATTTATCAAATAAAACAAGTTTCTTACTGTTATTTACCAGTATGTAATTAGTACACCTCAGATAGTAATCTGGACTTAGTGTTACAAGCATTGTTACTGGAAGGAGTAGTGTAGTACTTAAGCCAACTTAGTTTATTACAAGCAGTCCTCTGTTTTTCACTGGAATGCACAGGACCTTACTCGTTGACTGTTGTATCTGAAAAAGAAATGGGCATTTTCAATGCCCATTTTCAATTAATGTGTAAATTAGTACTTGTTTTTGTTTGTACTAAACTTAACTCTCAAGCTTCAGGGATAGACTGCTCATTCTTGTCTAAGTACATATTCACTTTATCTTTAATCCTCATTAATAATTCTCTAGATGTAGTCTGTAACACTACTTGTTTCTGCTCTGGTGTCCACTCGCAACACCTGCGCCCTGCCTCCTGCAAGCATCTTTAATTTCCTTCCCTTGGACCAGCTCTAATTCTGCTACAGCATCAAGTAATACACACACATAGATAAATGTACACCACCACTAGCCCTATCAGTACTTTATTCTTATTAATGGAGATAAATTATCAGATTACAGTATGCTTCTTGTTAAAAAAAAAAGCATGTAAAATAGAATTGAAAGGCTTCCTTCACTTCCATTTCCGTTTCCCAGAGAGAACCACTTTTAACATTGAGTCATATCTTTCTAGACTTTTTCTGTGCTTGTACCAATTTATATATGTATATTTTTCCTCTCCCACGACAGGATCATTCTTTAGTGAATGATTTGTGATATTTACATATATTGCCTTAAAGAATGTGTCTTCTTATTTTATTTCTAGTTTGCATCTATACTCCAAAACTATTTAAAATAATTTTTTACTAGAGAGGGAATGGTCAAGCCAGTTTCTTTGTTTTATAATGTCTCTTCTGTTAACACAGTGGTCACAAAGAAAATACTTTCATTTGTTTCTGCTTTTAATTATTTTGCTTTTTTTTTTTAACTTAGGTTCTAACATAGCCTACATTTATACCACAAATTAATTAGGACTATCTTTATGTTCCAGTCATTTGCTGAAAATCGTACATTGATTTTGTCTGGGAGCTTGAGACTTGAGAGGACTGGTCTAAATCTGCGCAGTCCAACTCGATAGCCACTAGCCACATGTGCTATTAAGCACTTTAAATGTGACTAGTCTGAATTGAGATGTGCTGTAAGTGTAAAATGCACACCAGATTCTGGTGACTTAGTACCAAAAAGAGTAAAATATTTTATTAATCTTTTTGTATTGCTTACATGGTGAAATGATAGTATGTTGGATATGTTGGGTTAAATAGATATGTTATTAATTTCATCTGTTTCTTTTTGCTTTTTTAATGTAGCTGATAGAAAACTTTAAGTTACATTTGTGACTTGATTGTATTTCTGTTGGACAGTGCTGGTCTAGATAGCAGAATATATAAAGGAAAAATGCTTTTATTTTGAAATAAATAAACTTGTGTGCTTCCTGATTGTAAACTGGCAGAAAGCTAGTTTTTGATTTTCATTTTTGGCAGTGATGAGCTGAAGGTTTAAATATGATCACAGAATGTTCTGAGAAACTGTTCTGCCAGTTTTTCTGGCCAGATGAAAATTTCATCTTGGTCTGTTTTAATGACTTATTTAACTGAAAATAAGCACTTCCTTAATAGAAATTTGTACTCGATTTCAGAATCAAACTGGTCTTGCCTAAGAAAAGTTTACAACAAAGGTGTATCTTAGGTTTATGTCTTATCAAAGAATTTGTAGTAAATATACTTTTATTTTCTATATGCTTGAATTTCTGAGTTTGTTTCCAGCAAGAACTCCAAAGATTAGACTAGAGTTGCAAATATTTAATGGAAACAAATAATGCAAAATAAATTACGCATGTAAAGGATCTTTCTATACCTGCCTTTGATAAGTAAATTTAGATTTACAGAAAGGTTAATTCATTTGTTTTTCTGTGTAATTTCTAAAATAATTCTGTAATTTTCTACATATATATCATTTTAAATAAGACTAATGAAACTCCATTACAAGACAATTTTAATTTTTAATAGAGTTTAACAGATAAATTTAATGATACAATATCAGTTTAGTGTCTCACCTTTTTTAGTGTCTAAGAAGGATTGCTAGGTATTCAGTAGCTGAGAAAGAAGATCCAATTAGAATACAAAATCTGATTTTAACTTCAAATTTTTTTCTCAGAGTTTTATAAATCAAGATAAAAGAAAAGAAACAGAAGATGAAGATAAATCAAAATCATTTATGCAGAAATATGAGCAAAAAATCAGACATTTTGGTAAGTCTACTACTTGAGTTTCCTCCTTTTGTAATGTTTAGTATCATCAATATATGTACAAAGAGTGGGTTTATAAAATGGGGACCAAAAAGAAGCTATGGGACAAAACTCCAGTTGTGTAGCTACTTCCGGCAGAGTTTTACAGCTCTTGTTTTAGATTTTTTTTTTCTATTTATAAAAAATAGAGTGACAGAGTAAATCAAATTGTGAAGAAAAGCAAAATTCAGTTTCTTATTACATAATCCTACCCTCTAAGGTTTGGTCTATTTTATTCCATAGACTTTTCTTTTCCCAGCTAGTCTTTACTTTTGTCTTTTCTGCTTCCTTGGTATCTGATTATCTTATGGTTATAAGATTAGCATTCATTTTTTTTTCAGGTTTTGGATATGATGCTATACAATTGATGCAGATCTTTGAACTTTTACTGAGATAAATAATAAGTAATAGAATATACTTCAAAATAATAAATGATAAGTAGTAGAAATATGTATACAGAGAACTATAAAGTAGTTTTCTATATTGAGGAAAAGCAGTGGGGATGGGATTGATGTAAGTGAAGGCTTTCCAGCAGAGGTAATGTCAGCTAGATTATGAGGCACACATAAGAGTTTTTCATGTAGGTAAGGGAAGCAAGGCAACAACAATGGCATGTGCAAAGGCTGAGTCAGGAAATAGTATGCTCTGTTCTAAGAATTATAAGCAGTGTGATACTGCTGGAGTGAAAATGCTGTTGGGAAGTGTAATGTGTTAATTTAGTAACCATAGTTTTTTATTTGTAATATGTTATAAGTTTTTTAAATGAAACTTTGAGACCTTTTTCCTATTGGTATTTTCCCAAAGTATTTAGAATTTCATTCGTCCTTCAGTTATGTCAGCACAGTGGATACTACTTAAGATTTTTTTCCCTTTTTATGGAGTTACTCAGAAAATTTATTAATTTTTCTCAAACGTTTTATTTTTAAAAAATAAAATAAGCTGTGTATTCTATTTAATTCAACAATAGTATCTGAAGAAATAAACAAAATTTATTTTTGCACATATTAGCATTCCAGTACTATTCACAATAGAAAAAAATGGATATACCGCCCTCCCTTGGATAGATATTAAAATTTTTAAATGAGCACAGCCCTGAATTATAAAAACAAAAATTTTGCAAATGAGCCTTAGTTGTGATAATGTGATTTGCAGCTCCCACCCACAGTCCTTTCTTCCTAGTCCTGTGTCCTGCTGTATGTAGGAAAAGGAGTACCCTGTACTGATTGCTCTTTCAGAGCATAACTGCGTCTGGTAGAATAGCATCCTTCAAGGTGCTTTTACACAACTGGAATTCTATAGGCTAGTTGCTTTGGAGCAACGGGGAACCTAGTGAATGTGAAATCAATAGTTCCCTCAGTTTTGCTATAAACTGAGTGCTGTGGTAAAAGCAATTTTGTTTGGGAAAATATCCCTATCTCACCTGGCACTGTAACCCACCTGGCACTATAATTATGTAAGTCTTCAATAAACATTTTACCACTCTATAATTCTGGGTAGTGAATTTCATAAGCTTGTTGCCTTCATTTCTTTTGCTGTAAATTGAGTTTTGGGGTCAAGAAATAATGTGGTATGGGGAATGCCTCGTTTAGTAAGACCTCAGATGCATTACTGTTTGCGTGGCAGGGAGGACAGGCAATACTAGATCTCAAATGGGCTTGTTCAAGTGAGGAACCACTGGTGCCTCCAAATGAAACGGGACCAAGATAATCAACCTGTTACTTGATGGTTGGTTAATCTCTCTAGCATATAGTGCCAATATTGAGGTTTCAGCATTGGTTTCTGCTACTGGCAAATTAGGTATTCAGTGGCTAATCTGGAATATCCTTGATGGAGACATCCCATGCTATTGATTCTCTGCATAATCTCAAATCTACCAGCATGACTCCTTAGTTTCTAAAATACTGATACAAGCAATCATATGGCTGAAGAAAAAGACTAACAGGACATCCACAAGTGACTGATAAACAATTATTTTGCCATTGCATGTGTGGGCTTCCGGTGTCTCATTTTTTAATATTAACCAGAGCCTTATTAATATTTAATATTAACCAAAGCCGACCAGACCTGGTAGCCATACCCAGATTCACATTGTTCCTGTTTCTTAGTGGAAATGCACATTGACTTTTCACTTTGGAGGAGATATCCTACTTGCTGCAGCCCATTGGGTCTCAGATGTGTTACTAAGGTAGGAAGCTCCCAGAATTTTCTTGTTTTATTTTCCAGTTTCTGGGTTGTTTGTATCTTACCAAGGCATATGGGATACCTGCCTCTTCCTGCTCACCAGTTTCCATCAGAGTGAAGTAAACCAGTTTGCAGTCATGTGGGATGATGTGATAGTCAAAGTTCCTGCAGACTAAATTATGGCACAGAGTTGATGGTGACTGAGGCAAGACAGTGAAAGTTTAATACTGTCCCTTCTGGGTGGAAGCAGGTGTTTTTGGTGTTGTGTGTTTCTTGTAGTAAAGGGGGGGAAGCATTTACCACAATAATGACTATATCAATATATTCCTTTGAAGTAAACACATCTGGAATAGCAGCTGTAATGAAAGCTTCTAGCTGGAGGCTTTACAAACTTGGTTTGCATTCCAGATTCTTGGAAGACATGGGCCTGGAACATGGGAGGCTGTGCAGGGCTGCAAAGGCTTCACACCTTACTTCTCTGTGGTCTCATGTGTACCTACATTCTTTAAAGTTCTTCCTAACTTTCCCTATGATATTTGTTGACTATCTTTCTTATGTTGCTTGTACTCTTATAATTACCGTCTTGGAATTTACCACCTAATGATAAATGGTACAACAGTATCATGGAATATTGTGAAGTATTGAAATCTTGATTTTTCCCCCTGTATCTGTATTTAATATATTAATTTAGTTAATTCTTGTTTTATAAATATAAAATATCAGTTTAGAAACAGTCTGTTTTAAATTTCACAAAAGTTTTATTCAGTCATTATGCATCTTTGACATCACTGTCTTTATGATCATGAGAGCTGCTTTTTGATGATCTCACTTAAGTTTTCATGACATGTCATCTGTTCACTTCCAACCAGAGTTAGCTGTGGTTCAGCATTTTTTGAATTTGTGTAAGATGTTGCCACTGGAAATTTTATTAAAAGCTGTGAATATTTGCATAGATACTCTGATAGAATCAGTTGTGCTGTAGGTGGATATCAGTCTCTTCAATGTAAACACTGACATATTGCTTTTCAAAAACACATCAATATCTTATTTTTGAAAAGACATTTAATAAAAGTACTCTTGAATAGAATGTGAAGTGAAATGAATAGAAAATTAATATGTATGATATGATTCTAATTTTGTTTCTCTAAAAGTCGTTAAAAATAAGCCAGAAGGAAATACATCAAAATGTTAATGTTAATTATTTCTTGTAGAATTGCAGGTGATTTTTATTTTCTGGATTTTTTCAAATTCTTCACAATGAATATAGTTTATTTTTATAATCTGAAAGAAATATTTTAAAAGGCTTTATCCTAAGAATTCAAGAATGGCTTAACTTTAGAAGATTCTTTAATGTGGTTCACCATATTAACAGATTGTAATAGCATAACCACAGGATCTAGTGATAAGTTTGATGTGGGAGGAATGGAAATGTCAGAAGAATTTCTGGAATGCCTGATTGGGTGACATGGAGCTTAGGAAGCAGTGTAAATGACAGGGAGAGAAGAATGGGTTTGATTTCAAACAAGATGAGTTTATGCGCAGGCATGTAGGTAGAAACAGCTGTCTGGTGGTAGGTTATTGGGAATTCAGGAGATCTGGAGCTCAGGAAATAGAGAAAAAGAGGTCATATCATTCTTCAGAAATTCACAACCTAGTTGGGAAATTTTCAGTACTTTGAGAAGTTTATACTTAGTGTAATTTAAAGTTTATCATTCTATAAGTATAATGCACAGAGGAAAGGGAAATCAATACGGACATGTATTTGGGGGCCATTTTAGGAATCAGGTGGAATATTAATAGCTAATCGGTGAATTGGGATTTAGATGTTCTCTAGAAAAACATGTGGGTGAAGATACATAATTAAAGTATTTCGGTTTGTCAGAGTAAGTTTTTCAAGCATTTAGAGAAATTGGTTGTCTAGTTTAGATGACTAGATTACCCTTAACCAAAGGATTAGCTTAATATTGACGGATGAATGAATGAATGGTTCATATTGTGTTAATAATACCTAACATCTATCAAGTGTTTACTCTCTGTCATATTGTTTTAAGTGCTATATATGTATCAACTCATTTAATCCTCACAAAAAAATCTTGTGCATTGGATACTATTTTTAGCCCTATTTTTACAGATGAGGAAATGGAGGGGTAGAGATATAAAGGAACTTACCCAAGGTGTGGTTAGTGGTGATGCTGGTATTCGAACCTAGGCAGTTTAGCCCCTAGAATCATCATGCTACATTGTGTTACTTTCCATTTCTTTTTAAGTTTGCTTATAAATTCCAAAATAACATTTGTAATTTTAGTTATGTTCTGTTCCACTAAGCCATTGATTCTCTTCATATATTTTGTTCATAAGATTCCACACGCTTCCATAGAGGTCTATATGGACTACCTGTAACATGACTTCCCAATTTCATAGTAATTTGGTAGGCATTTTTGAAATCAGTTATTGACAATTATTTCTCAGATG